AAACAGATGTTATTGGGGGACTGAAGACCAAACTTGTGCCCGGGCTCACTGCAGTTCAGTTCTGGTGTCTCTTTCCAACATTATGCCTTCCCTTTAGAATACAAATACATGAGTGTCCATGTTTGGCAGAGTTCATTTCCCTCAGTATGGAATACATGGAGAGATACCCAAAACACCAAAGTTTAGGAGGATGGACTTTGCTTTCAAAGAGTCTTTTCACAACAAACATAATACTTACATCTCTTTTCCTTAAAAAAAAAAAATGAAGTAGTAGTATAGGTTTGGAGCATCAAGACCCAATGACACCAAATGGATCAAAGTAAAAAAGAGAGAGTCAGTCCACTAAAAGTGGATAATATTAATAAAGCAGAAGGCAAGGAAAAGATTAGCAATGTTTTAACAATTGGGGAAAATCAGCTATTGATTTCTCAAAAGAAAGCTAACATAGTCATCCTTTTTTAAACATACTTCAACCACTGCTGAACGGACCAGTTAAAAGGGTAAAGGAAAAAAAGGTAAGATGCTTATCATGATTTATTTTACGTCAGGAATATCTAAATAAAAGATTACAATAGCAAAAGCTCAGTATTATATACTGGGTTTATTTTTAGTCACATAATGACACATGCTATAAATTATCCAAATTGAATCTCCATGGCAATAAAAGTTCAGGCTTTAAAAAGCAAAGGTCACCAATGTAAATTACAGCTTTAAAGCAAATGCTGTTTCTCTGTGAGCTATGTCCCCAATTTCAAATATTTGTAGACTCATAGAGGCTGATCTAATGTGCTGCTCTGAATGCAGTTTCTCCAAGCACTGCTGCAAACTGGACAATCAGACCCTTAGATCTAAATCCACTTTATTCAAACTACAGCAAAGAGGAAAATGAAACCAAGAAACAGAAAGCATTTATCCCCTTTACTAATACTGCCACACAAAATACAAAGCATAGGCATAACTACTGATAAAGGTCTCACAGAGACAAGCTAAAACTACAAAATCAAATACCCGTGTTAACAGCACTTTATCAACACAGATAAAGAAGGCTGGAGAGGTGCTTCTGCACAAGAGATAATGGATCCTTGCCCTCATGTGACATTGGAAGACAGAAAGTGTTTCTCCAGGGGATAGCATCAGCACATTTGCTATACCTTCCCAAACTCTGCTGCGCAATTACTAAGGGCAGGGCAGTAATAGCTAGAGGGTGGCATTCACAGAGTTCTGCAAGTGTTCAGTTGCAATGACACTGTTTGCTGCATCCATCTATCGAGCCATGAGTGCTTGCTATCCAGTAAACCTTGCCTTATTACACTCTCACATCACTCCACTGCACAGTCATGCTGCTGTGTGGGCAGAAGCACAGACAAGTCACTACAGTGCAGATTGGCTGAGCCTCTGCGAATCCATCATACCTTTCATTCCTGCAGCAATTTTATAAAATGTTTTGCCCACCATGTGCAGCAGGATTCTCTCACCTCAACACCAGTAAGTAAAAGCAAGAAGAGGACCCTATTACTACAGCAAAGTACCCATTTTGCCCTTTATCTCCCTATGATAGATTTCCTCTTTTCACATTAAAGTACCACTGGTTCTCATTTTAAAGATCTATATGACTTCACCAAGCCTTCCAGATGTTTTAGACTTTAATTTCTATCACCCCTGACCATTGTGGCCAGGGCAGATGTGAGTCTAAAACATCTGGAGGGCACTAGGTTGGGGAAGGCTGAACCGTGTCATACTTTTACTTCCATTGTAATCCCTGCACAAATACACATAATTCACAACATTTTTGGCAGCCCATTAATTCAGGTAAGGAAATGGTCATGCGAGTCTTCCCTTAAATCTTGCTAATATTGGGTTTTTATGTCTCCCCTCAAAAAAATTAAGACATTTTAGCAGCAGCTTCATTGCTCATGTATCTCTTTGATGATACAACTCCAGTTCCTTAAGTCCTCAGAAGGTTTTCCCTGCTAAACAAATGTGTGTCTCTCACCATAGAGTTATAATGCTGCGAACACAAATCAAACCACATCATCTACATACAACAGCTTTCCAATTTATTTACATCACTTCTTGCTTCATAGTTTAAGACAAATAATTAGTTTCTAAAATATATCACTGGAAGGCAAAGTTTTTTGGCTACAGTTCCAGTTGTGTCACTCAGCTCTCTTGCAAGCGTCATTTATCATCTCTCTATTTTGGTTTTGCAAAATTGGATATGACAACAGTAATTACACTTGTATAACTCACATAGACTAATGAAGGGCAGTCTTAACTAGGATGTGGCAAATGTGCTGTTTGAGATCAACCTCTTTTCAGGGCTTGCTGATGCCATACAAGTATAATTTTCATAAGTAATTACTGTTTGTACAGAGCTTTGGGTACACATATAATATTTAAGGGAATTATTGTGCTTACACCAGTGCTTAAATGCCATGTATAACCTATCCCCAAAAGGCATTTAATCTCCAGCTTGCATTATTCACATGCTCCTAAATGTCAAAGACCCAATACGCAGTTACAGCTATGAACATCCTCACAAAGCTTATCAACAATTAATTTTGCCAGAAATTTTGCTAGAAAGCTAACATAGGAATTATATAAATATATTATATACCATTAGAGAGTCTTAGGACTAGTATAGCAGAATATACATTGAATGAATGAATGAATGATAAAACACAAACAATTTTTCTGTATTTTGTACAGTTATCTCTATCATAAAGTAACATGTGACTAAGACTTGCTCTCACAGAACAGAGAATAAACTTGTTAGGCAGTTACTTTTATCAGGTCACTAAAAACAAGTTATCTGCCTACTATAAATGCAGAAGAAAACAATAGCTCTGTGGATGCCAAAATAAGTCATTAATTGAACTCTGCTTTTAGCAGTGGCAGCAATGGTAGTATTTTACTTTTTATTTTTTAAAAAAATTAATGTTTTCAATGAGAGTGCTTCTAAAAACTGTAGTGGACAAACATGGTTTAGGAGGCATCACCCCTTCTCTTACTGGAAAAATGTCTCTTTTAAGACAATAGCTGCTACAACACATGCATATCATCTAGAAACAAAGCTTCAGAATTTTGTTACCACATGCAAATTGAATCAGCAGAGTGATTACATAATACTTTCCTAGTCAGGTCTTCTCAGAAGTAAGCCCCATTGAACTTGACTGGGGCTTACTTCAAAATATTACAGAAGGATGGACTAAAATTAAAATGTATTTAGAGAGCCACCCCATGTATGGATGAAAAAAGACAGAAAAAAGTCCTACAGTCCTACAGCACTTTCCAGCAAGTAATGCTGAGATATGTAGGCCTTTTTTCTTTCAAAAACGACATGGGACTGCACCCTTAGAGTGCAATCCTGTGGCCCCTAAACAGTACTGGATACCTCAGGGCTCTTCCTCTGTGCCTACTGACACAGCTACAAGAAAGAAAGACAAGATCTGATCACGGATCTTCACTCCGGACACATCTAGCCTCCCAGCCACGGAGGAGAGATGGAAAGTTTCACTTATGAGGTTGAAAACATGCCCCTGTTCAGGAAGGGGGGAAAGGGGTTATGCTAGTGGGAGGGGACAGGACAGGATAGGATAAGGTTGTGCATTTTACTAGGGCTTCTCCAATCCTCTTCCTGCCCACTGAAAGGTAAGTCAGTTAGATTGGCTCACAGACCTGCCTGGATGCTTTCTGAATTTTAAATGAAGGAAGGAAAATATAAATGGAGGAACAAAACTGGAGAGTTTTGCCAGGGGCATATAGGATAAGCAGAGTGCTCTGATCCCACCCTGCTCCACTGTAGCCCCAGCCATTACATTTCTGATGATTCAGAAGTAGTAGATAAACTAAATAGAAATTAAAGATGATACACTGTATCAAGACAGGACACAGTAAGCCAATGGCCTCTACAGTCCTCATTCTACCAGCTACCACCTCGTATGTTACATTATCCACAGAAGGTATGCCAGGGACTCGCCTTGCCTATGATCTTGTACAAACTGGCTTCATTACACTTCAAGTAAACTATGTCCCTGAATGGTTTGCATCAAAGGACACCTCTGGGGTTGTGGGACATGCACCTAAGCAGTGGACACGTGCCAACACCATTATCTAGGGGCTCAAGCTGCAAATCAGTGAAAGGGGTTGATACATCATAAAAAATACCACCATGCCCCCTTCACACAGATGCATGAAACTGACCAACAGCATCTTTAAAATACGTGGCCTGCCGAAGCTCAGCAAACTGGTTAGCCTCCAAGGTGCCACAACATATTGCAAAAGCCCAAACCATACATTCAGGACACTCTTTCAGAATCTGGTAATTCTAACAGTTCAGTCTTAACCATGCTCACTCAGGATCAAATCCCAATGCACTCACTGGAGTGTATGTCTAAGGAAGCGTGGCTAAAATTGGGCTGCAACCTTAACTACTCTGGAGTAAACCATATGTCAAGGCAAACCCATGGCCTATTCGTGCCTTTCCTCCATCCCCTGGGAAGCTAGCATATCCACACCAAAAGGCCTCTATCCTAACCACATGCTTGTGTTTTTAACTTCAGTGTTCAAAAGCCCTCTAAGGAAAACCTAGATCCTTGCACGTTGTGTAAATCCCACGACTTGAACATGACTTGCTTAGGATGAGAGAGAATAGGGCTGTTGCTCCAGTGACTCCTTATCCTCCTATGCCCTTACTGAGCACCGCGACTCCCCTTCTTTTCCCGGGGAGGCTACTCATGAGCCCTGCGTCCTGGAGGCTTGACTTTCTTGCTTTCTGCTTTTTAAAAACCATGCAAAGTACCAAAGCGCCCGCAGAGAAGTCGCCGCCAAGCTTTCCCTGGAGAACCAGCCTGCCTGTAGGTCTGTGGAAGCTGGAGGAAGGCTAAACCTGGGCTGGGCTGGGCAGGGCAGGGCAGGGCAGGGCAGGGCAGGGCACGGCCCCCGGTCTAGGCCGGGAAAGGGCTGGGCCCCCGGGGACACACGACGGCTCTCCCACTCACCCGGCCGCCAGCGGCGGAGCTTTTCCTCCGCAGAGTCAGCCCGCTTCGCAGCAGCGCCGGCAGCTCCCTCAGCTTCTGCCGCAGCTGCACTTGCTGCTCCTGGTCCTTGGCGCCGGAGGGGCTCCGGCTGAGGAGCAGCGCGTCGGCCCTGGCACACGCGGGCTGCATCTTGACGAAGCCGCCAGCCATGCAGGCTGCATTCCCGAGCAGCCCTCCTTGCTCGCCGCCGCCCGCGCCTCCTCCCGCCGCCGCCGCCGCCGCCGCCGCCTTCCTGCTTCAGCAGCCTCTGGCTGCTTGGCTGGCGTGCGCACGCACGCACGCACGCACGGTCACACACACACACACACACAGCGAGGCGCACACCTTGCTCTCGTTACGCAAAGCGCGCCTGGCGAGCGAGCGAGCGCCCAGCGGCGCTCTCTGCCTCCTCCCCTGGCTTGGGAAGGGGCGGAGGGGGCTCGGAGAGGGCGCGGGAAGCCTGCGTGCGCCACGCTGCTCGGAAGCTTCCCCGGGCAAAGCAGGCCCGGGCGGGAGGCGCTCGCCCGCAGGTGCAGCCCCGACGCCAGCAGCGGCACGCTGCCCCGGTGCCCCTCCCGCCCCCGCAGGCACGCTGGTCTCCTCTCAAGTTCTGCCGCTTACAGGGCCAAACACAAGCCAGAGAGGGAGCCGGAGAAGGCGGCCGGGCGCGGCCAAGCGATAGTCACCAGATCGCCTGCCTTAACGCGTTGCCTTTTCCATCTGCCCTCCCGACCCCCCGCCTTCTTTCCCGCCCAAGCACTCTTGCTGGCGCCGAGGAGGCTGCCGCGCACCGGCTCCTCTGTCCCCTTTCGTTTCTCCTACAGCGCACGCACGCGCGCAGGTACGCCACGGCACAGGTGGGACGGTCCAGCCCTTTGCCTCACCTGGAGCGTAGAGCCTAAAGCAAATGCCTGCCGCCTCGTATTCTTATTACACCAATTCCAGCTTCGGGGAAATGAGCACATCTGTTATTTATTTTTGTCAGTGGGGCAAGAGACGCGCCGTCCATCCATCCTTCCTTTCGCCCACGGCTCGAAGGGGACCAGGGTGTGTTAAGCACGCCACATGTATTAGACAGTTAAACTGCGGAACTCCATTGTACAAGAGGTGATGGCCACTGATTTGGACCTTTTTAAAGACGGGCTGGACAAATGCTTGGAAAGCCACGGGAGCGAGCGCGGGCAGCCAGGTGCCGTTGCCTTCAGGTCCCGTTAGTCATTTCCACTGGGCAGCTGGTTGGCGGCTGTGTGAACAAAGCTGCGCTAGGCGGACCCTTGATGATCCAGGAGGGCACTTCTTGTGTGTGGGCACCCAACTAGTGTGTTCTGAATGGCTACTATTAATAAAATAATTACCGCTGTCTGCTATCTGCAGTTCATTCTCCTCTGTCCTCATTGTTGGCAATTGCTGTTGGCAACAGCTTCCAACAGTATGCACATATATCCTTGCAATTCTGCATAACACTTCATGAGTCTGAAATGGACTGTACTCCACAAAGCAAATGCCACAATAAATTGGTTATTCCTTAAGGTACCACAAGAGTCCTTACAGTTTTCATTTCAAAAGCATTTTTATATAGGACAGAGTGAAGTGTCAGGATGTGTAATTTGGTTACACAACTTGGATTTTTCATTATCTGCACATTTAGCTCTGGTGTAACAACTGATCAGGGAAAAAAAATCCACGGGATCATCACACCCATTTTCCTTTGTGTTGACATAAATGTATTGTGCAATAAATGTTTATTGTTAGGCAAAACAACTCTGCTAAAGTACTAACTAACGTTTTCAGTGTACTAGTGAAATTGTGCTTGCTAGGTCCTGAGTGAGGCATACATTATTGCACCAGCCAAATAGTTGACAGGAAAGCTCTAGGCAAATAGATAAAAATTCAATCAGTAGGCTGTACATACTCTTAAAAATGAAAGTACAGTTCCTCTGATTTTCTAACAACATTTCTATACTATATATAATACACATATAGAAAGCCATGCTTTCAATTTTGGGTGGAATAATGGATGGCCCTTTAAATCTGCTTCTTTTATCATTATTGCAATATCCGATTTCTGAAACTATGGCAGTCAATCTTCCACTGTGCTACCATCTATGAAAAGTTCATCAGAATGGTGGAGTTTTTTAGTTTGCACAAAGAAATGAGCTTGTAAACCAGTGTGTGCACTGCACTGTACATACAAGCGTATAGGCCGTGATCACCTTTGCATGGCTCACCACCAAAGGAAGTTTGGTTGGTGGAAGTATAAGGAAGGGAATTTCCAATGGTACCACCCACTTATGGAATTCCCTTCCAAAGGTCAGGAGGCTAGCTCCCACCTTGATAGCATTTAGACACACAGTCTAAACATTTTTATTCTCTTCTGCTGGTAGCAGTTTTTAACAGAAGGCTTTATTCTAGCCCCTTGTGATTTTATAAATCTCTTTTTAATTTTCGAACTCTTGTCCTATTGTGCAAACTGTGTAAATGAGACTGTTTAGCTTAAAGCAAAGGCAAGTGATAAACACTGTAACAGAGTTGTACAAAACTAGGCATGGTGTGAAGAAAGTTCATGGGAAGCCATTTTTCAACCCTTTAAGCCCCATTGGTTGCAAAACTAAAGGCAAATGAGATGTCATATTGTTTAGACCAAAGGTCTGTCTAGTCCAGCATTCCCCTCCCACAGTAACTAACTGCATGCCTACGGGAAGCCCCAAACACTGGACATAAGTGGAAGACAAACATCCTACTCATGTGCCTCAAGGACAGCTATTCCGAGGTATGCTGCCATTGTTACTGGGAATATTATCATTCGTCATGACTGACAGTCTTAACCTACATTAATTTATCTAATTGCCTCTTAAAGTCATCCAAGCGGGGACTCAGCAGTACCTCTCGTGTTATGCAGCTCATTTGTTATTTCACTGATTTATGTATTTAATATGTGTTGCCTTTAGGATTTGACTGTGTATCTGTATTTTAAAATAAGCTGTCATCCACTTTGTGAGGAGTTTTATCTGAAAGGCATAATGATAGTAATAATAGTGACAATAATTGCTCCCTGTCCATTCTCCCTTTGTTTCCTTTCTTTGCCTTTTACACATTTTCAAGAGTTAAATTAAATCAAAGCATACTTTGGCCTCCATGCAGGGTTAAGTTTTAATCCATAGACTGCAATAAGAGGATTTGTACCTGTTCCTCACTAGTGAATAAATTTATCCATCCACATGCATGGGTTATAAATAAGGAGTAAAAGATGCAAATTGTGGACACGGATACTTCATTTTTAAACTGGGATGCAATCATATACCAAAGATCTAAGGAGCAATACGATTTGGCAGAAGTCCAGAGTAACCACAGGGCTAGTCCCAGAATAATGCAAATACAAGGTTGTTCTGAAGTACTGCCATCAGTTTATTTAACTGCAATATTTTTAGGTAGAAGATTTAGCCCAAAGTATATGAAATATGTTGCTAACAACATTTAAGCTCTAGTCACAATACTCTGTGTGCATGTGCGTGTGTGATGTTGTTCTAAACAAGAAAGCTGCTTTGTCCAGAGAATTGCAATAGCTCAGCTACAAATATTGGCTCACGTCACCAATAATAGTATAAAAAGAAGGAGTTGGGGTTGTTATACCCCCTCAGGGAAATTAAAGCTGTTAACAATTTTATTGGGAGTCTCTGCTTCTCTGTCATAAAAACGCCATTGCTAATATACTGCCTTTTCCCTTGCAGATCAAGGTTAAGCTTGCAGAAATGCTCTCTGGTGAGAACACGTTCAGCCTTTGTTTTTTCAAATCTGAAAATATATGACATACATTATTTGAAAAACTCTTAAAAAGCAGTCAGGGATTCTTGACACGCATGACCCCACATGTAATATACATCAACAATATGAATATGATATTAAAGTTTGTTTTTTGCTTGCGTGGTGAACCCTATTTATGTCTACGTATTTCCTTATGATCAGTCATGAGGTTTAGGGTCAAACTACACATTATGCTAAGCACTTACATTCAAGTGTGTTTACAACCACCATTTCTTCCTTCCACAAAAAGTTGCTGCAGGAACTCTTGATATTGTTCAGAGCCATGGCAAAGGGAAAATTTAAACCTTTCCTCTCAACACCAGTTTTCACACAGAAATTAATCCCCCCAGTAATGCAGATAGGACCACCTGGGGCAAATGGCAGCCACACACTCCAGAAACTGAAATCTATCCCCAGTGTGGCTGAGTTTGTGTGTGGAGAGATGACTTTTTCCCCGTCAAAACTAGGATTGTTAAACATGACTCCCTCTTCAACACAGCACTTGCCAGCAGTGCAGTACAGCAACCCGTGGCTAGAACCCAAATAACTGCTTGAGCTTATACAAGGAAACCGAATTAACCCACTAGAATTCTACAATTGTCTGTGTGTAGAGCAATCCTCCTTCCATGCCATACAACTCCCCTCTGTTTCAAAATCAGTTTGCCACGTGGGAAGTGGGGCTGGTGTTCTAGCAAAATAATTCTACAACCCATTGGAATTCAAAATTAGTCACCTTGAATCTAAAGGGGGTTTTTCCATAGATTTGCTCTCCAAATTTGTTCTTGGTTGGGTCAAGATCTGTGTTGTGTGTATAGTGATGGACCCAGAAGTAAACTCCAAACTCTTCCTAACCCTAGACATTTGAATTGAAGGACAGTATAGAATTGTCTTAAATACATACATAAACTAGATATTTCTCTGACTGGATAAAGCAAAGATCAGATGTTCTGAATTTTAACAACCCAAATGACATAACAAAATAGGTGTAGGGAGATCAAATGTTGCTTGTTTGAAAAACATCTTTTTCAAACATGTTACATCAGGGCACAATCCAATGGGAATCCCCATAAGCCTCTGAACTTGAAGGCTTATGGGCATCCTATGCAAGGCAGATGGAATGTGGAGACCATCTTTGCCTCCTCCCATCCTGCAAATCAGCTAAATGGGCAATTTTAGGCATTCAGCTGCTGCACTTTGAACAGGGAAGAAAGTAGGCTTCCCCATTTCCCAACATACTATTTATCCCTTCAATGAGGTCACTAGTATGACCTCAGAGTCACAGTCAGTGCAGGACTTTCCATACTGGCAGGAGCTGGGCAATCTAAGTACAGATTCCGAGTTCCAAGGTTGGAGCTCTTCTCTAATTTGGGAATCTGAACAATCCTGTAATGCTCTAGAGACTCTCC